TATATATATATCATAATGGCAGGGAAAAAGAGCAAGTCCAAGTCCAAGTTGGAAGGTTGTGATAGAGAAGCCAAGGATGAAGAAAATTTTAACGAATTCCAAGTAACGGTGATAGTTAGAGCTGCAACCATTTACTTACTTTGCGTCACAAGGACACTTTTGTATCATAACCTAGACTGAGTTTGGATTATGAAATGTAAACACTAACAGAATCCTCTTTTTTATTTAATTCACGAAACTGAATTGTAACATCGAGCAGAGAATAGAACAGTAGAATCCGTCTATATCAAGTATTGAACAGTTTTTATTGTATTGCGTTTGGGTTGATCTCTTAAGCATACACAACAATAGGACTCCTCACATTGTATGATCCGTCTGACCAAACTAAAGACGCAGACACAATACCCGAAATACCTGCAAGACTCTTGCCAGAGACTGTAACGGTGAAAGTCTTCTTCTCCCCTGGAGACTTGAAAGAGAGCGTCTCTGGCTCAACATTGATGCTGAGTTTAGGATCCCCAGACACTTTTGCTTTGTAAGTTGATCCCTTCTTCCCAACGTTTGTGACCGTTCTCGAAAATGTGATATCTGAAGATGATGAAGCTGAAACTTTGGCTGCCATTGAAGGGTAGTTGAGATCTTTCATCTGAATCTTTGGTTTTTCGGAACAAGTGAAGGTTCCTCCCGCTACAGTGCTAATGCCTTTAGATGAGTAGTCCAAAGCGCAGAGCATGTTCAAGTATTCCTCTTTCGCTATTTCGTAAACAAGCCCTGGATCAACTGCCACTGAAGGGTTTACATATCCTGATCCATATGCAAACTCAGCTTCAGCATTCTTGGAAGCGTTCATTGCCCAAGCTGCAACAAAACAGAAAGGATTGATTCGGGTCTCATGGCAGTTCAATTCTTTTCTTCAGGGAATAAATCAGACTAATGTTGGTAATTACCGGTAGTCATGATAGCAGATTTAACGGCGGAAGCAGACCAGTCAGGATGGAATGTCTTGACATAAGCAGCAACACCTGCGACGTGAGGGCAAGCCATAGATGTTCCGGTCATGAAATAGTAATCCATGCTTTGTCCGGGAAGCGCGGTTTGAGCCACCGGTGAATATGCTGCTAATATATTCACTCCTGGAGCTGTTATATCAGGCTGCATTTATACATTCTTTCACCTTTAATTGTCATGACATCGATCGAGTCGAGTAAATTCAAAACAAAGTTGTTGTGAAATTTTGTTTTGAGTGATTATATACCTTCAAAATGTCGCTAAAGAGAGTGTTTGGACCACGAGAAGAGAAGGTAGCAACGATTGGAGCATCATTATCCTTAACTGTCCCGCTCTTCATTATAGTTCCTTGGGGTTTTCTGTTTCACATCTATAAATGTTAAGTATCTTAAAAAGAATCTAATCAAAAAATGTTTATGTAAACAATTCTTACGGTGCGGAGAGAACATAAGATCTGAATGCTTCATAATTGGTATCATCTAAAGTTGAGACCGGAATTGGACCAAGACCAGGAGTATCAACATCAGTTACATGAAGTATAACTCCAACCGCGCCCGCTTCTTTAGGTTCCATAACATTATCTGGAACATCGCAAACAACGATCTTTCCCTCCACCGTGTTCAGGCAACCGCTAGCGCAACCCCTACCATAGAAGACATAACCACAAACATGATGTTTCATCTAATTGCTTAAGTCACAAGTTAGATCACTATGGATTCCTTGAGTCGAAAGTTACCTTGCTAGTTCCTCTGTACAGTTGTTTGAAGCTGTTTTCCCGTACGCCAAAGGATACTGCTTGGCTTTTAAGTCAAAGTCATTGATGGATCTTCCCTGTATATTCATTCATTCCTACTTCAATCATCATGATTGATGACAACAATATCACATTCATAGATCAAGTGAAACAAGAGAAAAGCTTCTTACAGGTATCATCTTGCCATCTCCATTAACCACATTAGTAACGAATTTTCGATCAGTAGAACCTGCAGCCACGGTTATGATCCATGGTGCGAGGTTACCCGCTGTTCCAAGTTTAGGGCCATCGTTTGCAACAGCAGCCGTGGTAACAATCCCTTTGTTCATCGCGTGAAATGATCCAATCGCGATAGGGTCAATATCAACTTTAGTAACACCTCCTCCAATAGAAATGGTTATAACATCAACCCCATCGGCTATTGCATCGTCGAATGCAGCTAACATTCCATCAGCGTTGCAACCAGCTGGCTCGCAAACTCTGTAAACAGCAATTCTACCTAAAGGCACACCGCCTCTTGCAGTTCCTTCAGCCACACCGTTCACACTCACTCCTTTTACTTTGTTTCCGGCTGCTGTTGAAGCCGTGTGTGTTCCGTGAGAGTCGTTGTCTCTTGCGGATTCCTGCACATAGTGTCTTGCTCCAATCACCTTCCTGTAGGATTTGGATTAGGGTTATTAATCTCTCTATCGTTTTCGTGTCACGCAAGAAACTTGGAGAAGAAAAGTGAAAATGTTTGTTTACTTACTTGTTGCATGTGAAGTTTTTTCCTCCTGCGCAAGTTCCTTTCCATTTTTTAGGTATTGGGCCAATGCCTTCGTCTGAAAAACTCTTGGATTCAGGCCAGATTCCGCCGTCGATTATACCAACTATTGAATTAGTCTCAACCTCAGAGATTTGCTTGCTCTTGTCACCAAGTCCCATAAACTCATAAGATCTTGTAGTAAGAAGCTTATAAACAGTGTTTGGGAATACCGAAACCACACCTTCCATGCCTTCAAATCACACATGTAACATCATCATCATCGAATTAACCATCATGATAATTAATAATTTTATGGGATTTGAAGGCACAATTGATTTTTCTGGAAAAAACTCACCAATAAGTTTCTCTTTCAGATTCAGTGAGTTTGGCTGCAAAACCATTGAAACTTCTTCCATAGCTTCTGACCAAAGAATCTTCTACAGAACTGAAAAAACAAAACAAAAGACCGGTTACTAACGATGACGTAAACAACAAGAAACAAGTGTAAGAGAGAGAATTGAGAGTATTAAACCTAGATTCGATAACRTCTTGAAGGAGATTCTGATGGTGAGACATAGGAGAGTAAGATTGTTGTGAGGAAGAGCTCCCATGTAAGCAATATACACCTATACATACATAAAAATGTTTTAACGAATGAATATTATATATAGACCAACACATATTAAGAACATAGATCATTATTATATGGGTTACGAGACGAAACAACAATGTCTTGCCTTTCTTTCATCCTCAATAGCTGTAGGAATCTGACAAAGGCTCATGAGAAGAACAAAGGATAAACAGAGGATCAAGCCAAGAGAAGCCATTATTGAGACGTTTAATTGTTTGGTTAGAGCTCTCAATAGGTGAAGTTGCTACTTGCTTGTACATGTATGTGTGTAAATATATAGAAAGATATGACAATGACAATGCATTGATGTTGTAGAGATTATGTATTTGATTATGGGAATTAAATATACTACATGGTAAGTTATATACGAATTTTAAGTTATTTGAGAATTTGGTTTACTATTAGGATAATTTTAAATGTGATTTTTCTTATAGAGGCTATATTATCTTTTACATATCTACAATTTTAATCTACAAAAAAATAGAAAATCTAAAACAAATGTGATTAAATTTGATGGATTATTTTTTCTTCATAATTTGTTTTTAGAGTATTAAAGATTCATTTACTATATTAATATTTGAGAGTCA